GAAGATTTGCAAAGATGAGCACGATCGCTATACATCCCCATTTATGAGGTACTTGAACACTTTAGACAACCGGATGACTGCCTTGCAACATGAAGTTGCCACAATCCAGAATCAACTCGGCTTTCACCTACCATCCTCGACATCGATCGACATGCAAAGAGGTAAATCGATTGACGCGAAGAAACTAACAGCGCATAAATTCTATACCAAAGCAGAGGTTGATCTAGTCACTGATAGAGTCTACAAAGCTCTGAACACTACTGAGGATAGGCTTTACAAGATATGTGATGACATATTCTTTCCCTTCAACAACAACATCAAAGGGTTACATTCAGGAACACAGTAGCTTCAGAAGGGAGTCAAGAAAATTCAGAAACGACTCGCATGTCATCCTGAAGCTGCATAATCGATCGACAGATGCATATGAAAATCGATCGACATATGCATATGCAAATCGATCGACATATGCATATGCAAATCGATCGACAGAACTACAACAGCAATGATCGACGCAACAGCAGTCGCATCGATTGATACCGAGTCCACACTAGACCGAGAGAAGATGTTGCAGTGCAACATAAATTAAAGGAATTGACAGTGTATGCCTATGATAAGATTGAAAGGCACAACATCAGCCTTGAAAGTCTTGATGAGATATTTCAAAACATCTCAAATACAGTTGTCAAAATAGATGAAATATGGGCCAGAAGTAATGAAGCCACACGAAGTTTCATGGCTACTTGGTTTAGAACCAACTGAGATGATGTGGATACTTGTTTTCCAACAAGTAGCTGTTTTTCCACACACTAGCTCAACATATCTCCAAAGTCAAGCTAAATGACTATAACAAAGTTCTGAGTGGGAGGCGACCCACTATTAGGTAATTTTTATTTTGGGTTTCTCTCACTTTATTAAGTCTTTTTCGTTTTTCATTTTTGCAGGTTTTCAAAAAAAAAAAAGATCCAAAGAGAAACAGATTACCGTCTTATCGACCGACGAGACCAAGTCGATATCGATCGACACAACACCACCTGCACCGATCGATGCCCAAAATTACGCATTGATCGATATTCAGTACGTTCAGGTATATGTTGTTCCTTTGTTAAATTGAGTACTTTTGATTTATTTCTTTCGCCATAACTCTGACTGTTTGACACTGGGGACAATATAGTTTAAGTATGGGGGGGGAGGTTTACCGATATTTTTCTATGAGTCTTATGAAAATTGTTTTCAGTAAACCATTTTATTGAACTCAAGAAATGGATGATGATCTTATTTGATTTACTTCCAGACTTGTTAGAAGAATCTGATCCCATGTATACCAAGCCCAAGACAAGTAGTTGTGCCATGTTTAGTGTTGGAGGTCAGCTTGGGTTCCTTCAAACAATCTAAGCAAGTGTGAATAGTTGACAGGTTGATCCACTTTAGCATCTTTAGTACTATCTGTAATCATTAGATCTAGAATGGTGCTAAAAAGTGGTCAGACGACAAGTTATCACCTTTTGTCTATCTATTTTCGACCCTGTATAGTTAAGTAGGTTTATGAAGTTTTTTAAAAAAATTTCCAAAAATAATGTTATATTTATAGATTTTAGTTAGGTGGAATCAGAATATGACTTTGTGGACAACCATTAAGGCTTGATTCAGAATGATTCCAAATAAAAAAAGATTCGAATGGGACTTGGTGGCTACAACCATTAAGACTCACTTAATATGAATTCTTGAATATAGGTAAAAAGAAGTGATAAGGACTTGGTGACAACCACCATTAAGGCTTGTTTCGTGGAAGCCTGTCCAACCTTGGTCAATACTCATGCCCTAGAAGCAGATTTTGACTCAAGAGATAAATTAGAAGAGAGAAAAGATAGGAACTAACTTTTACCTGCAGATCTAGATACTTGTTTGAAAATCTTTGCATCTGTGATGATACTCCCAAGGTAACGCCTGAACTTTTATTTTATGTTAAGAAATGAGGTTAGTTAAGGGGAATGTAGATACTATTTGCTAAGTTGCTTGCTAGATGAATTTGGTTGCTAAGCTAGGATATGGCATAATGAACTTTTGTGACTAGAATTTCTTAGATGTAGATTGCAATATCATATAGGTGATGATTTCAAGTTTTAAATCTGTGAGTCCTTGCTCTTTTCAAACTTCTTTCAGAGAGACTGTCTGTTTGTTTTGCTTGAAGACAAACAAAAGGATAAGTCTAGGAGAGTTGATATACCATGATTTTGACCCACTTTTAGTATTTTTATAACCATTTATTATATTATAGAAGTTTTTAAGCATATTTATAGCTTCATGAGTATTTTGGAAGAAAGTGATGTTTTTGAAGCATTTTAGAGAAAATTGGAGAAATCACTCGATTTGGATATCGACAACACCACGAGGCCGACACAGAGCGATCAATGTCAATCGATATGCTTTATGCAGTATCGATCAATGCCAAAGGTGCGGAAGTTCGGCGCGGAAGACCAATTCGCAAATCAGCCAATTTGAAACCCAAGAATTCACCAAATTACAATTATGCACCTGACTAGTTTTAACCTAAGTATTTATATTTTGCCTAGGTGTTTTAGACAAAAGAGAACTTTTTGTATTCTTTTTACACAGCAAAAGTTTTTTAGGATTTTTAGTTTGGGAGAGAAGATCGAGAGAGATTTGTGATTGGAACTCCATTGTTTTCTATCTATCTATATTTATGCAGTTTAATTACCTTGCTTGTGTTATGATTTGCTTAGCTATGTCTGAGTAATTCACTTGTTAGAGTCAGGGTTTAAATAGGTTAGAGGGATTAGCCCCAACTATAGGATCCCTTGTTGTGGTATTCATTAATAGGATGTTCTTAATGCTTATGTTCTAGACTTGCTAACTAGAAACCTAAACCTAGGAGTTTTAGATTGTTTAAGCAACCTTTAGGCAATTCTTATTATCCTGAATTCATTCTATTAACCTAGGATTTTATTAGAAACAAGGTTAGAGCTTGATCTACGAATCCATAGTGAGTACAAATTAACTCTCGCATAACGCTTAACTAGCCGCATCGATCGATATTCCCATCGAAAATCGAACGACGTTGACCATTATTGATCAGACACTATTGTTTGGATCAATAAAGATCTAGTTAATAGACTTATCTAGTAAGCGAGAGCCTAATGAATTTGTTATTTAGAGGTTAAGATCTTTAATACCATATAAACAACTAATTAGTACCTATAGGATTATAATCTCCAACTCCTGAACAAAAATCATAAGTCTAACATATTTCCAATATAGTTCAACTCTCAATCTATTCAGTGCCCAACTTGATATTTACTATTTCTGTTTACCTCATTATTGCAATTTTAGTTTTAAACCAACTTAACATTATTATTTTATTAGATTTAATAGGTTCATTAACTCTTTGTGAATTTGATCCCTAAGTACTACAGCTGATCTTTTATTTGAGAGAGTATAATCACTTCTTAAGATAATTTGAATGGTATCATACACCTAATGACCTGTCGAGCACGCATTAAATCATAAGTTTTGAAATAATTGGAAATGTTTTGGTCAGATTGATAGTAGATTTAGGATTGATTGGGATGAGCCGAACCAAAACAAAAATATTTAAATGCGATTTAATTTAACCAAAACAAAAAAAATTAATAAACTATGATTTGTTTGTGCCATATTCAGATTTTTTTAAGTAAAAATCAAAATCCCACTAGATCTCTTCCTCTAAAGATAAGTGGTAAACAAAATCAACAATAAATGATATTTCTTTACTTTTTCTTTGAAAAAAGGCTTTTGATATCTCCTTACTTTCCATTTGTTTTTATTCGTTTAGACTATTAGTATTATTAAACACAGACTCTTGTTATTCTTGTCAGAAAAATCTAACTATAAATAATATGAAACCCATCTTATAATTGTTTAATATCAGTTATTTTGAAAATATTGCTATCGTACAGAAATACTCTTCGTTTCGTGAACCCGTCATCTTCATACTAAAACCATAAAATGAAGTAATCTTATTCAGTTATCTATTATATTAAAAGAGAAGTCATGACTCATTTCATGTGTGATATTTTAGTTTGGACCATTTTTAGAGTTTTATAAAATTTTACATAACATTATAATATCTTTTCATATCTTTAATTTTTGTTTAAAATACAAATAAATAGTTTTAAGAAAATTCTAACAAAATCTTTTAAAAATCTTTTAGAATCTTTTTCAAGATATAGTTTCAAAAATTATTTGAATGAAATTTTAATTATCATACAATATAATTATCATAAAATATAATTAAAATTTTAATTCATTTTTAACTTATAAACAAAAAATTAAAATTATGTAAAATGCTTTTAACAATATCCCAAAATTTTGTTTATGTATTATGTATGTCCAACTTAATTAATTTTTATATAGATTTCAAATTTAGAAATAAAACAAGATATATAAATTCGTAATCTTACATAATAATGTTTTTAAAATTATTACAAAAATACAAATTTATAAATTTTATATTAATAATATTAGAAGTCACATAAAATGATTATAAATTGGATAGCATAAAGAATCAAATTATACTTATTTATTCATAAATTTTATTATATAATTTCAAATATTTTTGTATTAAAATACCTGCACGGTTGTGCGGGTCGAAATCTAGTGTTTATTAATACAGTCTTCGATTATTTAAAATCATATTTTGATTCGATTGAGAGTACATTATACTCGATATGTAGTGTTTGTATTTTTTTTCTTTGTATTTTTATTTTTTTTTGTCAACTTACCCTCTCAAAACTCAAAAATATTTTTTCTTATTTCTTCATAGTGTTTCTACTCTTATTTCTTCATAGTGTTTCTACGGTGTGTAACAAATTTTTTTTTTTTTTTTTTTTTTGAGAAAACAGTGTGTAACAATGTTGTTATTTTATGTGTGTTCATCGAATGATCATAGGACAGAGACCATTTATGGGATCTCGATTTCTCTCATTATCATCAACTTAGCGACAATGATGCAACGAGCAGACGAAAAACTTATTCCTTCCACTGCCAAAGAACTAAAGGAAGCATTTCATGCGAATCTTTCTAGTATCGGATTCCTCTCGTTTATTAGAAATATATTTCAAGGAGTTGCTTCGCCTTTAGCTGGTTTATAACTTGCAATCAGTTATGACCGTCCTGCAGTTTTTGCATTTGGTTGTTTCTGTTGGGTCTTATCAACAGTTGGAACTGGAGTCAGCCGCTACTTCATTCAGGTTTAAGCTCTTTTTTTTTTCCTATTACAGTCTAATTAAGCTTTTGCACCAAAGTTCAGATTAATTTTAATTTTGTAGTTAACTAAATAGACAAAGATCTAGACACCGCGTGTGTAGATCTTAAAAGAGATAATTGACATCTCCTCCTTTTTTTTTCTCTTCAATCCCTAATTATTTTATAAATCTTTATTTTCTATATACAATTAAATTTTAAATTTCATTATTTTTTCATAAGTGGCTTTGAATCCTCAATTTTTTGACCTTTTTTTTCTCTCCAATCCCTAATTATTTTACAAATCTCTATCATTCTATATACAATTAAATTTTAAATTTCATTATTTTTTTCATAAGTGCCTTTGAATCCTCAAATTTTTGATGATATCATTTTTATGGGTTTTAGATTCGGCGTCGTGTTATCGGTTAACAAATATTGTAGATGATAACAGAAGTGTTAGTTGTTAACAATTATTTTTACGCTCCGCGTTAATAAATGTGTTCGCTGTTAACAAATATTGTAGACGCTAACAGAAGTGTTAACTGTTAACAATTATTTTTACGTTTCACGGTAATAAATGTGTTGGCTGTTAACATATATTGTAGACGTTAACAGAAGTGTTAGATGTTAACAAATGTTTTTACGCTTCGTGTTAATGAGAGGAAAGAGAAAGGGCATTCTCGGCATTTCCTTGCCAAATGGTTGTGTCAGTGTCCTTTATGTCCAATCAATGGTATTTTGCTAATTTGAGCTTCAAATATGGGTAGTTCACTAAATCACTCATCTTAAAAATCCCAAGAAATCATGTGTATGGTCTTTAACTTTTATAGCATATCACAAAAAGGAAAAACAAATCTATATTATTAAAAGAGAAGTACCCATATAAAATACCCCTGAGTTTTTCTAATTATTTACAATGTTATGCCACTGAAGTTATTAATTACCCTACCTTATAGGATTCTTTGTCTTTTGACTTTATTTAATGCATTCCAAAATCAAATTTTAACTAAAAATAATTATGGCAACAATAATTAATGAAAATAATTATTTCATATATAACTTTCGTAATTAAATAAATAAATTATATAGAAATTGTTTTACTAATTCCATATACATAATAATTAATTCCAATATTAATTAACCTACTTTTTAAGATTTTTTTATTATTAATTATCTACATATTTTTAAATAGTTAATGAACAATATTTTTTTCAAAGATATATAATTATATTTTAATTATTTATAAGTAATAACTAAAATAAAAGTCACAAAAACATTAATATAATATATAATAAAAAGATTAATATAAACATATCATCTTATGTATATTTTCATATAAATAATATTTCAAGGTAAATTCAAAATAACAAAATTTATGTAACTATTACAAACATACATCATTTAGTATAATCCTAAAAATTAAAAGAGAACAAAACACCCGCCCGGTCGGGCGGGTTATGGTCTAGTATCAATTAATGCTTTAGTACATATATGACTTTAACTAAAGTAATTATAGAGTAAAGAAGAAAAAAATAATATTTTGCGAAAAATAAGTGAATATCTATTTTTATCTTCCGGAAACTAAGACGAACTATTGGGTATCTAATTAGAACTCTATTACATCAAATAAAAGTATATTTTTGGAAAACTTAAATATTTAATCCAGTGCAAAATGATGTATATTTTGGAGTTTTCACATATATTAAAAAAATATATATTATTTTTTTGTATTAAAAATATTCCAGAATTTTATCTAAAATTTAATAAACCCAAATTTTTTAAGTTTACAATTTACCATTATAACCTGATAAAAATGTAATGTCAATATAAAAATATATTTTTAAACAATTTATTTTCTAAACCATTAATCATTTTGAAATGTGAGGGTAAAAAAGTATTTGCGCAATAAAAAAAGTCTGATAGAGATATTAAATGAGTAATATGGGCCAATAACCATTTCTCAGAAAAAAAAACAAATAACCATAGTAACCTAATAGCTATGCTATGATATATAATATGCCATTTATTCCCCATTCTATCCTCAGCATGCGCGTAGATGTGAACCGTCGACTTTTGTCCCTTTTCCTAAACTTTATACTATGTACTGCATTGCATAGTATAGCGTGTTGGATTGCCAATTTCTTGAGTACATGGTGTACTATTTCCTCTCAACGGAATTTAAACACTTCTGTACTCTATGTGTTTGTATTGTATTATTGTACTGTGTAATACATGTTTTGTAAGTTTGGCTGTTCAAATACATCTCCTATAATGTATATGCTACTGTTTTGTATTATTGTACTTTGTAATACATGTTAAGTAGGCTATATATTTTCTTTTGTAGTAGACAATCTTGTTGAATGGTATTCAGTATTACTAACATGTTAATAGTATAGGAAATATACAATATGGTGAGTACGGTTAAATTGGGTTCCGTAGCGTAATTGTTTCGGCTTCTAATTGTTAAGACTATACTATATGAATTAATTTAATAGAATAGAATCAGTAAATAATACAACATACTGTATATTCTAAATTGTATTAGTTTTGTATGTTTTTTACCTCCTGTTTATTTTCCTTCACTATTCCACTAACTCCATTATCTTTTCCTTCATAATTGTTGTCACTCATCACCATCCCAAAATCAGATGTTGAGTTGGCACTGGAGAAGAAAAATGTTCTTTGTCACTAGTTCAATTCAATAATATTGCAACAAATAGAATAGAGTGTAGATTCATATTAATAGTAAAAGTTGTGTATCACTTTTACAATTTTTCTTCCTCTCTTCCCTCCCACTCACCCTCTTTTCCTCCCTTCCCCCCTCCCCCTCTCACTCCCTCCCTCCCTCCATCCATCCCCCTCTCCCTCCCTCCCTCTCTCCCTTTCCCCTCTCAAGTATTCCATACTATGTTCTAATCAAGTATTCCCTCCTCTCTTTCTTCCCACTCACCCCCTCTCTCTCCCTCCCCATCCTTCCTCCCTCCCTTCCTCTCTCCTCCTTCCCTCCCTCCTTCTCAAGTATTCCATACTATGTTCTAATCATGTATAATATAGTCTGAAATCTAAAAGTTGTATATCATTTTTACAATTGTTCTTCCTCTCTTCCCTCCCTCCCTCCCTCCCTCCCTCCCTCTCTCCTTCTTAGGTATTCCATATTATGTTCTAATCATGTATAGTCTGAAGTCCAAATTTGTAACATAGTATGATAATTTTAGTTTCTGAGCGTCAATTTCACGCGCACGCGCTAAAAGGAGAATTTGGTCAGGTTTGTGTGCAAATTGTCACATCCCCTGTAGTATGGCTATATTCTTAGTTTTTATATTTCTTATGTATATTGAGCAAATCATCCCATATTAAATTATGTTCTTAATTTCATTGACATTAGATAATAGATACCAAAGTTGGAGACTTATTGTTTATCTGACATTATAATCTTACATAAATTGTCTGATATTATAAAATCTTGTTGACATAGAGTTACATTAACTATCAAACACTATAATTTATGTAAAGACATAGGCCTCAATTGGTACATCATATGATAAAGCAGTAACACTATGTTGTAGAAGCAGTATGTTGCAGAAGATGTATGTTTTTATTAAAGTTTTTAACAAAGTGATTGGAAGAGCATTAGTAGTATGCAATTTTAAAATTATCATAATAATAATAATTATTATATATTTATTTTAAAATAATATTTAATATTTATAATATATATTAAAAATATAGTTGTTATTAAAAATAATAAATCTTAGTCATTATATAAATTATATTATAGTTTATATGTAAAATATTATTATTTTAAAATGTAAAATTTTGTTTTAAAAATATTAAATTATTTTGGGCGTAAACATAATTTTAATATTATTAAATAAATAAATTATATAATATATATATATATATATATATATATAATTTCATTATTTATTTATTGGTAAATAGTAAATGATTCATATATAAAATTATCACATGAATTTTATATTATATAATTTATTTATAGTGTCTAAGTAATATATATATATATATATATATATATATATATATATGTGTGTGTGTGTTTATTATCTATAATATATGAATATATGAATACATATTATGTTATGTTTGTTATTAAAAATAACGAATAATATGTGTAATTATATAAATTAAATAGGAAATATTGTTCTCTTAAAACAATTTAAAATATTTAACACAAATTATTTTTTAAAAAAATATTAATTAAATTTTCATTATAAAAATATTTTTTATATTATTAAATAAGTAAAAGTGAATTATCTATAATTATTTTTAAATTTTTATTTATTTTAACTTAAAATATTCTTCCAAAAGCTCCACATGAGAGCACTGAGTAAAAAACATTTGAAAAGCATTATCATCTGGTAAATGATTTTCTAAATACCTTTTCTAGTAAATGTTGATTGGATAATAGAAACCATAATGCTAATTCTCTATGAATCAAGCCCATAGAGTAAAGACATATTATGCTTGATAATTTATTCAAACTCTATCAACAAGTGTTTGACAATTTATAAAAGAGATGAAAGTCTTTACATAAAGAGAGTAAAGAAGATGATCGTATGGAATGGTCTTTCATTGAAGCCACCATGAGAAAGATGGATTTTTCAGAAGTCTGGATTACCTGGATTATGCGATGTGTAACAACAGTAGAATACAAGGTACTCATGAATGGCCAACCAAGAGGGAAGATAGTACCAGAGAGAGGTCTACGTCAAGGAGATCCTTTGTCTCCTTTCATTTTTATTCTATGCACGGAAGCGCTCGTTAGCCTTCTTAATCACGCAGAGAATCAGGGAAAGATAATAGGGATGCGCATCACACGTGCGTGTCTGTCGGTATCCCACCTACTCTTTGCTGATGATAGCCTTTTCTTCTGTAAGGCGGAGCCCCGTGAATGTGAAGAAGTAATGAAAGTGGTGAGGAAATATGAACAAGCCTCTGGTCAGTGCATAAACTTTGACAAGTCTTCTTTACTCTTTGGGAAGAGGATCGGTCACGAGGCCAGGCAGGAGATTAAAGATACACTTGGGATCCATAATGAAGCAGGAATGGGAACTTACCTTGGGATACCAGAGGATATTAGTGGCTCAAAATGTAAGTTGTTTGCCTTCTTAAAAGAGAAACTTAGGCATAGAGTGAATGGATGGACAGGCAGGTGGCTATCTAAAGGTGGAAAGGAAGTAATGATAAAGTCAATCCTGCTAGCTCTTCCAACATATGTTATGTCTTGCTTTTTGCTCCCATTGGAGATTTGTGATGCCCTAGCAAGTGCCATTGCACAGTTTTGGTGGAGTTCAAACCCACCAAAGAAAGGCTTACACTGGACAACATGGGATATGCTATGTCTATCGAAGGAGGATGGAGGGATTGGCTTCAGGATGATCCATGAGTTCAACCTGGCATTACTAGCGAAGCAGTTGTGGAGATTGGCCCAACACCCAGATTCCTTGGTAGCTCGTGTTATGAGAGGACGATATTATCGATTAAGTTCGCCTTTGCGAGAGCTTACTGTCAGTAGCCCATCATATGTGTGGACAAGTATCTCGGCTGCACGAGAATTATTGCTATTGGGGGTTAGACAGAAAATTCATTCAGGTTTTGAAGTTAAGGTATGGGAGGATCCTTGGATTCCCACAATCCCAGCAAGACCAGCACATGCATCAGCTCCGGTACTACATCCGAACATGAGAGTGAGTGATCTTATCAACCAAGAGACTAAGTCGTGGGACCTGGAGCGGTTGGCAAACTATGTTGAATCTGCTGATATACCTCTCATAAGGAGTTTGGCACTTAGTTCAACCCATCGCAGAGACACATACTGCTGGAGCTACACAAAGAGTGGACAGTACACAGTCAAGTCAGGTTACTGGGTAGCTAGGAATGTACTAATGAAGGCGGATGAGAATATGGTAGATGAGCCTAGTATCAAAAGACTTCAAGCACAGGTATGGAAGGTTAAAGCTCCTCCGAAGATGTGCCATCTTATGTGGCAGATTATTTCAGGGCAGGTGGCTGTTACGAGTGCACTAAATCATAGACACATGAGATGTGATAATTACTGCCCACGATGTGGAGAACCAGAGGAAACAATTGCACATGCAATTTTTCAATGTCCACCGGCTTTACAAGTATGGGCTTTAGCATCTATACCCACCAGTTCGTCGCTATTTCCTTTGGAGAGCACTTATGCGAATATTGATTATCTATTCTGGCGGAAGAAGGCCATTTGTGGGCCAGAATTAGAAAAGGACCCTTATCCTTGGCTAATATGGTACATTTGGAAGGCCCGGAATGATAAGTTGTTCAGAGGAATAGACAGGGACCCTTTGGAACTGGTTAGGTATGCAGAGAGTGAGTGCCTTGCCTGGTTCCAAGCTAATGAGAAGGAAGTGGAGATTACACAAGAGAACGGCGATATTGAATGTCAGACCATAAGTCTACAAGATATCTGCATGGTAGACGGTTCTTGGACCTCTATAGACCAGTTCTCCGGATGTGGATGGGATTCGAAGGATAGCATGGGAAATAGTCAGTTGATGGGGATGCGTAATGTGAGTAGAGTGGAATCGGCTTTGCATTCTGAGTTGGAGGCGCTGCGGTGGACAATGGAGAACATGCTTCAACATTCGCCATGTCAGAGCTTTGGGACGGACTGCAAGGAATTGTTAGCAATGTTCAACGATCCCCATGGATGGCCAAGCTTTTCGACGGAACTGGAGAGGATCTCGACGCTGAGGATTTGTTTTCCAGTCTTTAAGATTTCTTATGTACCTCGAGCTCTAAATACTGTATCCGATCATTTAGCTAAGACTGCCCGATCCTTCCATCGGGATCTCATGTACGTAGGTTGTTCTATTCCGGTCTGGATTCCCAGACCACCTCAAGTTTGAGTAATAGATCAGCCGTTCGTTGTCAAAAAAAAAAAAAAAGAGAGTAAAGAACATAACTTGTAACCTAGCGAAAAGTGTTCTCTCATAAATGGCTTAATTTATTGACTAAAATAAAATTCAAAACTGAATTACTTTTTGTTGTTGATCAAAAAAAAATTACTTAAAAATAGTTTAACATTTGCGTGAATTCATTTGAGCTTCTTAACGAGTGGAGATTCTCGTTTATATTAGGCAAGCTCCAACTATGGTATTAACAAACAAACAAAAAAAAAAATATATAAATCTTGGGAAAAAATCAGGAGTTTTTTAATAAATGAATTTGAAAGATATACTTGGGAATTTGTGAGCACAAACCTATTCTTTTGATTGAGCAGTTTTTAGACAATAGTTAAAATTGTAAAAAAACTAATAATATTAAGAAAATAGTTTTCTTAGCACTATAAACCTCCAATGGATATTTATACTGTTGAGGATGCTTTTAGAGGCTGTTGGGCCAAAGTAAATTATAATAATTAAATGGTTACAGTATACTGTTAATTGGATTAGGTTACCTTTGGTGCAGCAGTCAATGGGGTTGGACATGCAATTGTTTATCCGGTGCTTCAGTCGATTATTGCGGATAGCTTTAAAGATAGTGCAAGAGGTTTTGGTTTTGGTTTATGGAATCTTATTGGTACGGTTGGAGGTATAGGTGGAACCGTTGTGCCAACGATCATGGCTGGTCATGTTATATTGGGAATATCAGGCTGGCGCTGTGCCTATCTATTGAGTGCAACATTAAGTACCATGATCGGATTTCTTGTTTTCTTCTTTGTCAGTGACCCAAGGGAGACGAAATCTAGCAGCTCCATTATTCCTGATCATGAACGGTACTTAAATCTTCTTTGTTTTGCATTGTATTCACTTCTGAATTAGTGATGTGGTTTTTGTAGAGATGAAAACAATGCTGTTGTTTCAACAACGGAGAGTTCAAACTCGGTTTGGAAGGAATCGTGGGTGGCCATTAAAGATGTAACCAGATTAGGAACATTTAAAATCATCGTATTTCAGGGAATTATAGGCTCAGTGCCATGGAATGCAATGGTTTTCTGGACAATGTGGTTCGAACTCATTGGTATGTATACATTTTTCCCCCTTTTTTTATATTTTGGACCCAAAACCCAAACAAAATACCAAACCATATATTTCACCTGAATTGTTCACAAAAGTAAATATATTTACCAGAATGAAGTTCAGTAAATCCTTGACTACTTAAGGTCTAACAAAACCAAATCTTTAAGTATTACTAAAACTTATAACTTAATTATTAATTTGATATATATTTTATTACTCTATCATTTATATTATTAATTTCACTTAAACTCTAGAACTTTACTTTATATTTTTACAGAAATATTTGGATAAAGTGAAAATTTAATTCCGGATATCCAATAGTTTGTAACTTGTTTTATTAACAAGATAAAACAATATTGTTGACCAGTCCACAGACTTACTGGGTTTAAGCTAAGCGAAAACAAAGATGTTTTTTTCAGTAATATTTTGTTTTTTGGAAAATATTTCATTAATATCAATATCAATGAGTGATTACAAATAGAATATACATAATTAACCAAAATTTATTTTAGTTACATATTTTCCTTTGCTTTATGTTTTCAATAAACCAAAATCAAATCAAACCAAACTAAAATTGTTTTGCACAAAATTAATTTTTTTTACTGTAAATGTTTTTTATAAAAGAAATATTGGTTGAGGTTTTTCAACATCCGGAAAATAATAGACAGAAAACCAAACAACTCTAGCTGAATAAGCAAATTTTACATCCTTTAAGTTGATTATATTAATATATTAACAGAAACAACAAACATTATATTAATTTAACTAAAATTTATTTATAGTTACATGTTTTCATTTGATTTATCTTTTACCATTAAACCAAAACAAAATTAATTTGCATAAAAAACAATATTGGTGGAGTGAGGTCTCTCAAAATCCAGAAATAAATAGACAGAGACCAAATAACTCTAGCTGAATAAACAAAATGGCCATCCGTTTTACACCATTATAAAGCATATAAATACCATTATCGTAAATTTGTAATCAAACAACCAACAATGTTATCTCAAAATGTTTTTTTTTTCTTCAGGTTTTAATCATAATCAAGCAGCGCTTCTGAATGGAGTATTCACCACGGGACAAGCAATAGGATCATTACTCGGAGGAATAATTGCAGACAAAATGTCTCGTGTGTTTCCAAACTCAGGCAGATTATTTTGCGCACAATTCAGCGTTTTCATGGGGGCTATATTCTCTGTTATTCTTCTAAGAATAATCCCACGATCCACCAACAGTTACTACATCTTCATGGTCACTCTTTTCTTAATGGGTCTCACCATAACTTGGTGTGGACCAGTCATTAACTCTCCAATCTTAGCTGAGATTGTTCCTCCTACGCATTGAACCATGGTCTACTCCTTTGATCGTGCAATCGTAGTGTCTTTTGCGTCATTTGGTGCGCCTTTGGTTGGGATTATGTCGGAGAAACTTTTCGGTTTTGACGCAAAAGGACTTGATAATATTAAAGACTCTGGTCCTGAGGCAGAGGCATTGTCCAAAGGGATCATGTGGATGATGGCTGTCCCATTTGGACTGTGTTGTCTTTGTTACACACCGTTACATTTTATCTTCCGAAAAGATAGGAAAATCGCTATAACTCCTAGTTCAATGGAAGTAGAGATAGCATGAGAAACTATTATAAGTTTAGTCGCAATTGTTCTTTGGGTAAGCTTGCATCACCAGTATTAATGATTTTGCATGACATGATGATCGCTTTTTAATATGCAAATCTATTCATACTATAAAACTATGACTTCATATCTATTATCTTAGTGTGGAAGTAATATAGGGTTACTTATTTGTAGGGCAAACAACTTCCACATTGTATCATACAGCAACAAACTTCACACAATTTTTCATGTTCGTCCTAATTGAACATATTTTAAGTATATGAATCTAATTGTACACGTTTTAAGTATATGAACCTATATACATTCATTTTCAAAGATAGAAATCCAAAACCACACAGCCAAAGGTTTAGCTTAGTTTTACTAGTTTAGAATCTAAATCTATATCAAATCAGTTAGTATCGAGCTGAAATTAAAACCCATTCCGACTTGATATCCAAATAGAACTAGACCCAACATTCTACTAAAAAGTTGGTTGAGTATTATTTGAAAATCAGGTTGGGTCGGGTTTTAAATTTGGTTCAATACCAACGGGTTTGATCGATTTAACTAGTTTAATATCAGTTTAAATTCTAAACCAGTAAAACTAAGCTAAACATTCGTCTGTGTGGTTTTGGGCTTCGATCTTTGAAATTTGAGGTAAATAGGTTCATATACTTACAATGTGTGCAATTGGAATGGACATGGAAGATTGTGTAGAACTACTACTATACGATATTTCAAGTGTGGAAACAATTTGTTTACCCAATAAAATAATTGTCGATTTCGCACGACATGATGATAGCTTTTTGATATGGAAATCTATTCATACTATAAAAAAGACTTCAAATCTATTGTATTAGTGTGAAAGTAGTAGTATTGGGTGATGTATAGTGTTTTTACATGTCTTTAACTATTGTTTTTGGTCATTTTAGTGTCTTTTTTTTTTTTGGCTCAACATCAACTTTTCACTAACCAAGGAATGATACAATGAGATTATACCACATTAAAATTCTACCACATATACAACAATGCATCTTAGCAACACCCTGAAACACTCACTAGGTGATTTTTCACTCGGATCTAGCCCAACCTAGAGTACATTGTTGTAATTTCAACCACAGTGGGGTGAGAAAGCTCTACGACTCGAAGCAATCCACCCCTTAGACCACTACATTTGACCACAAAAAAGAGGGATACAACTCCGGTCTTAAACTATCGAAAAGACCTAAATTGAAGATTCCTTCAAAATACCAGCAGCAGGTACCAAAGATAGGCGTGATATGCTCAACCAGCTGCATCAACACCCGAAAGGGGGGGGGGTTATTCCCAACATGGCCTATTCAATATTCAGGAACTAAGGAGCTGCCCCCTTGAAAGGTGGGTTGAGGCATTGGCTCCTCCTGCGACCCAGCATGTACTCCGTTAGATGAGGACGAAGCAACACTACCGAATTTGTCTTTCATACGGTACTGCGAATGTGTTGCTTCTACACATGGCATCACCGAGTCTCAACAATCCTTCCGTTGACCACGCGAAAGGCTGTTAATTCTCTCCATGCACTGCCTCCGAGAACCGGAGGAACAGCTTCACCTTCGGGACACCAAGACACCGGAATCAGAACACCGCTAATCCATAGTAAAGTGT